TATTTTGATGGATGAATTGATTGGTTTTCGGATTAATGCATGACAACTTGTTTGCGACTAGGACAACCTATGATGAGGACTGAGATGTGCAGTAGAACGATGTAGGGGGTTCAGTTTTCCAACTGTTTGCTTGCCAACTGTGACTTGATCTGACTTGATCTGATTACTTGTTCTTGACAGTCGTTTATGCATCTAGTTCAGGGTATCAGAATGTGAGATAGAGCATATAGGTAGCCATGTGAGATTTGAGCCTGCTCGTTTCTTTCTTGTGCGATAGATCCCTCTTCCATGATGTGTAGCATTCACGTTGTCACTAGCTAAGATGATGGGGGCATAGGATTAGCCCACGCCCAAAACTGACTGTCTTGATGTGTCATATCCCCTAGTCAGCCCCTTTGAGCCGTGTGTTATCCTTTCTTTTGGTCTATAATGGAAAAAATCACCCTTGTTGCATCTTTTAGAAGGTTCCACAGAGTGGTTTTTATATATTCTCTGCTGTTTCTGCTAAAGTCTATGTGAGTGTTGGAGGTAGTGCTCAAAAGTTGGGCAGGTGTTTGAAATTTATGCAGAAGTGGTGGCTCTCTCAGGAAATGAAAAAAAAATGAAAGGGAAACAAAGAAAAAATTGAAAGCAAAAGAGAGCCACTACCAACAATCTGAATAATGCCCAGTAAGTAGTGTTTCTTAGCAGTCTGGCTTGGAAATGCTGATGTTTATGCCTCCTTCGCTCTTGTGCTCTTGAGATGTTGAGTAATGCAGAATAGCAGAAAAGTAAATACTGGTTTGTTTGACTGTGATTGTGTGTTTGGATAATGTGGAACCTTTTGCTATGAATACTTCCACCACCTAAAAGGCCTTTTCCCCATGTCCAAGACCCTAGCCAGTCATTTGAACCTGTGTCTAAGACCTCCTGATTAGTTAGTGGTGACACCCCATATGTGAACTCTAGCATTTAGAGGATGCCATCATGGTGAAGAGATGATAGGGATTGAGAGAGATAGCATGCGCATCTTTCGCATTAAATTGTCCTGACCCCACTGGTCGAGAGTGAGTGATTCATTTTCATTTTCTTTATGCTCTTGTACCCCGGTGAGGACCTAGATTGCTCGGTCTCTCTTCTGATGTCTTGAGTTGGATGCATGAGTTGACTGTTTTGAGTAGGTGGTTGAATCAAGTCTAGGTTGGCCAGTGAACAGAAGGGAGATTCTTCCTTTACTCGATTTGCTGCACTCGAATGTCCTCTGTGGTGGTTGTCCAGGTTGTTATTGAGGTTGTGCATGTATTGATGCTTGAAAACCAGTGCGATTCACGTGTTCTGTGCCTTTATGACTTGTCCCCAATGTTGGTTGATCGAAGTATGTAAGCTTACCTAATGTCTGACTTGGTTTGCTTGGGGACAAGCAAACGGTTAAGTGTGGGGGAGTTTGATAGACCGTCATTTACACATGTTTTTACCCTTGTTCTTACACCGTTTGAGGTGTTGATTCTCGGGTTTTAGGCCGATTTCACGCTAGGTTGTGCTTGTTTGTGATATTTCAGGTCCTAGTACGTGAATGAAGGCTTGGGAGCGAGTCTGGGGTCGGTTGGACGAAGATCGGACGAATGGCGAGGTTTCAAGGAGGCTGCACGGCCAGAGCAGGGAGTTGCACGGCCGTGCAACATGCAATCCAGGCCGTGCACTTTTTGCCGAGGCCACGCACGGGCAACCCTGAAACTCGCACGGCCGTGCAAGGTGCAACTCTGGCCGTGCGAGGTGGCTGAAGGTCGATTAATTGGAACGCTGCGTTTTGAGCCGCACGGCCAGAATGGTGATATGCACGGCCGTGCACTCTGGCCGTGCGAGTCGGGAAATCCTGGTTTTAAAGCCTATTCCGAGCCAAAAGGAGGGTGTTCGAGTTTTTGAGAGACAGAGCGATTCCTAGAGAGAGAAAGCGACGAACAAGAGCCTCCAAGTGCCCTAGATCGATCTTCAACACCATTGGAGCTTGGTTTGAGCTTGGAGAAGTGCCGATTCAACGTCCAGGAGCAGAAATCCATATTCACAGTATGATTTCCGCGTCTGATTCTGCTTTTGCTTCTCTCTCCATGGAGTAGTTCCCCCATTCATCTGGGTATGGGAAACCCTAGTTCTGTGTGTTAGGTTTGATTGTATGAACCCAAGTATTGATACTATGATTTTGATTATATTCGATTGAGGTTTTGAATGATTGAATGGCATGAATCCTGATCAAATTCCTGTTGTTCCTGCTTTAACCTAGAATGATAATATCTGCCTAGGTTGATAGAGTATCCTTAATCGAAGGTAGTGAATTGGTGACTTTAGTCGAGGAGCCAATTCACTATTCTGTACCGAATTCAATTCGGTAGTGGAGGTTTTGTTCATAGGGCCTCAATCTGTTTACTCCGGTGGAGGTTAGTCGCCCGCTAGAGACTCAGATTGAGAGGGTCTGAAGACCTTTAGTCGAGACTTCAGACTGTTTGAGAACCTTCCGCAGTATAACTATCATAGTAATTGAACTTGGTAATTACAATCCGGCTTAACTGCAGACTAGGGGGAACCATATCCGGGTGACCTCTCTTGACTTGACAACAACCGTTTACTTGCTTTGTGTTTTGTTTGCTTGAGTTGCACTAAAAGTTCACCGCTAAATAACAAGAATTCACCGAGTAGTCATCACATCTAGGACCCGGGTTGACAATAAAACCCAAACCCGCTATACTACGCTTTAGGAAGTGGTTGCACTTGGCCATTTTCTAGAGTGACAGTAGGAGTGAGTCACTTAGGAGAAGGGTTACTGTGTGCAGTATATGGACGATCGTAACGTGCTTACACACTTGTTCCTAGTCCACCCCGAGTCGATAGTGATGTTGCAAGCTTGGCACCATGTGATCGTGATAGATGCAACATACAAGACCAATAAATATGATATGCCTTGGGTTAAGATTGTCGGCACGACACCAGTGGGATTGAACTTTGTCATTGCATCTGCAATAGTGTACGACGAGACGAAGGAGTCGTACCAGTGGCTTTTGACGCATTTGCAACATCTTCTTGGCCCTATTGTTCCATATGTGTTTGTCAGTGACAAGGCAAGAGGAATGGTTGAGACCGCGAGGGTAATGTTTCCATCATCGACTCATATACTATGTCTTTGGCATATAGATAGGAATGTGAGAACAAAGTGTCTAGCCGAGGTGCGAAGGATGACTCATTGTGGTATAGATGCAGCCAAACCGACAGTGGATCATATCATTGCGTCTTGGCAACATGCTGTATAATCCTGTGGTATCAACCATCTCCTGGGAACCCTCTGCACTCCATTTATATCACCTCAAAGACTCTAGAGCTTTTGGCCTATGGAAGCCATCCAACACTCCACGGTCCTACTCAGGAGAAGTCCACAGTACAAAGCCTATGTGACCTCCAAAACTAGGGATCACATCGGGAATCAATGGTCCACCTAAACACATCTGAGACTCCGATGTAAGAAACCACGACATCTCTTTTCTCGTGGTCTTCCTCTTCCTATTTCCATCTCCGCCTTCCTCGCTACTAGGTCAGGCTGCATAACGTCCATCGGGCCCACGGAAGTGTGAGGAGGTAGTAGAAGATATCCAGACCCGCCCCGTCTTCCCCATGCCTAAATCAGCTTAAGGTGGGGCATCCCTAACCTCAGCATCACCAACATCACCGTCGTCATCATCATCCTCATAAATGAAATCGCTCCAATTAGCCTGCCAAGCCGGTGCGCCCTCTAGTGTAGGAGTATTGACAGTACCTCGACTAAGAGACAACTGCCTCACAGTAGGGTGGCCGTCGGGACGCACTACATACGCCTTCTTCTTATTCCTCCTCCTAACCTTAGATGGATTTTTTCCTTCATTTTCCTTCCTACCAGTCGCCGTAAGTCTACACTAACGACCTTCCATTCTCTCCTTATTTCTCGCCTTAATCATATCCGGTTTACCCATTCCATGTCCATGACTTCTTAAAAAAAGCTTCAATTATTAATATTCAAGTACATAAACTAATCAATTTAAGATTTTCATAATTAAAATCATAAAACTAATATATTGAACATTTATGTAATATTCTGCGTACAATTACTCATTATTCACATAAAAGTAATACTTAATTAAGTAAGTTAAAAAGTTACAATTATTAATAATTAAGTTCATAAACGAATTAATTTAAAATTTTGATTATTAACATGATATAAGTACATTTTTATTTTTGTACGTATGTTCTTTAAATTTCTGTTATCATTATTAACATTTATCGAATAAGTTTTAATAGGTTTTTTTTAATTTTTATCATTATTGAAAAAATATATAAGAATTATTATTATTAAGTATAATATCTAATTCACATATAAGTAATTAACTAATTAAATTAGAAAATTTATCATATTTAAATAATTAATAACAAAAACAAGAAAAAAAAATTCAACCGCAGTCAAACCGAGGTTTGACTGACGGTCAACTGTGGTCAACGCATGCTCAATTGTGCGTAGGTCAAACCGCGCGTTGACCGCGGTTAGTCGGCGGATTAATCGCGGCTTGACTGCGGTCGATGAGATTTGGGAGGCCGGCGGATTACCTTCTTCTCCGACAATTCTGCGCAGATGGAGAGCGGGAAGCCGACGGCGTTGCGAGGGATCGGGTCGGCGATGGGAGATAGCGGACGGCGACGGGAGGGCGGTCGGCGGTGAAGGGGAGTGGGTCAGAGGTGAGGCACTGGTCGGAGTTCTGCAGAGGGGAAGGGGACGCGGGGAAGGAAGAAGGGTTTGGGGTTGGGGGTTGTTTGGCTATTTGAATTTTGAACTTTACATCAAGAGTATATTGGTAATTTGACATTTAAGTTATGGTATAATCTGCAAATTAGGCACTGTTTTCATGTCCAGTGAACACGAAACCCACGTACAAATAGCTGCATTTCAAGAGAATGTGGGAGCTTTGGAACCCAACCCAGGGCCTAGACCTCTATCCTTAAGGTCATTTATCACTTGTCTCCAGACTCCATCTTGCAACTCCAAAATGGGACGTCGATTCTCACTTGCTCTTCCTACTGATAATCGCGTCCGCGGTTGCTTCACGCGCTCACAAGCTCAAATCCGCCACGTTCCTATCATCGGAGCTCGTCCTAGCTCCCGGCTCGTTAACCAACACGCTCCACTACGACGTTGGCTTCCCGACTGGCCACATCGGCATCAAGAGCTTCCACGTCGAGCCCGTCGACTCCTCCGGCCGCCCCATCCCGCTCTACGAGACGTATCTCCAGTCTCCACCACTGGGATCTGTTCTGATACGTCGTCCCCAAGGGCACTGGTGGTAGATCGTCGTCATCCGACGATGACTCTGCCATGGTCGTGCGCAACGACGGGATATGTCAGGGAAACATTCTGGGCCTGCACTACGGCTCCGGATCTGCAAGTAAAGTTTTTGATGCTGCAACTGCAAGTAAAGTTTTTACTGAACTAAGCTTAGCTACTGGTGAGAAGGTATCACAGTAGTCTATGCCATACACCTGAGTATAACCCTTAGCAACCAGTCTTGCTTTATACCTTTCAACTGATCCATCTGAATACAGCTTCACCCTGAATACCCATTTGCAACCTATTGGTCTTTTACCAATTGGCAGATCTTTGATCTCCCATGTTCCATTATCAATTAAGGCCTTCAACTCTTCTTGAACTGCATTGTTCCAATTTCCCAGCATTCCCTTCTGACACCAATTATACTTCTCCTGAGAATCCACAGTCTGAGGGGGGCACACAGTCTTCCTCTTCCCCTTCTTCATCTATACATTCTTCTCCTACTTTTCAAACTCCTCAAACCTCTCAAACTCATCCTGTGGATTCACAACCCACTGTTTTCTCCCCTACTCCCATTTCATCTCCCATTCCTCAGCCTAGTCCTATTTCCTCTTCTCCATTTTCTCCAATACCACTTAACAGCCCCTCTTATTCTCCATCTCATGCTCAGTTAAGAAAGTCAACCAGGACAATTAGACCTCCTAATTGGCACAAAGATTACCACATCACTCACCCTATCCACAAGGCACTCTCTTACACTCATTTGCTACCTAAACATCAACATTTCATAAATAGCTTGACTGCACACAGAGAACCAGCTTCCTTCCAAAAGGAAATGCAGGACCCTCATTGGAACAATGCAGTTCAAGAAGAGTTGAAGGCCTTAATTGATAATGGAACATGGGAGATCAAAGATCTGCCAATTGGTAAAAGACCAATAGGTTGCAAATGGGTATTCAGGGTGAAGCTGTATTCAGATGGATCAGTTGAAAGGTATAAGCAAGACTGGTTGCTAAGGGTTATACTCAGGTGTATGGCATAGACTACTGTGATACCTTCTCACCAGTAGCTAAGCTTAGTTCAGTAAAAACTTTACTTGCAGTTGCAGCAGTACAAAATTGGCACTTACATCAAATGGATGTAAGCAATGCATTCTTGAATGGAGATTTAACAGAGGAGGTTTACATGGAAATACCTCCTGGTATGGATTTGGGAGTAGACTGCAAAGGAAAGGTCTGCCATTTGAAGAAGTCATTATATGGTTTAAAACAGGCAAGCAGGCAGTGGTATACCAAACTTACTGAAAGTCTACTGAAACATGGATTCCAACAATCTTCTTCTGATTACTCTATTTTCACAGCACAAGTGCTTGGAGCATTGGTGGTTCTCATTGTTTATGTAGATGATATTATGATTGGCAGTGTTAGCCTGGAATCCATAACAGAAACAAAGAAAATTCTACAAGGAGAATTCAAGATGAAGGATTTAGGGGAGTTAAAATATTTTCTTGAACTTGAAGTTACAAGGGGGGTTAGAGGTATTACAGTTTTACAAAGGAAGTATTGCTTGGAGCTTTTGGCAGAGTCTAGATTTGAAAATTGTAAACCTGCAGCCACTCCTATCTATGTCAAAGAAGTATTATCAGCAACAGGTGGTACTCCTTTGATTGATGTTGCATGATACAAACATCTAGTTGGACAGTTGCAGTATCTGACAACTACCAGACCAGACATTGCATTTGCTGTGCAACAGCTATGCACATATCAGGACAGTCCAACATCACTACATTTGAGACCTCTTCACAGAGTTCTTAGGTACCTTAAGGGTTCACCAGGGCAGGGACTTCTTTACCCTAAGGATACCAAGTTGGAATTGAAAGGATTCAGTGACTCATACTGGGCCACTTGTCCAGACACAAGGAAATCTATAACTGGATACTGCACCTTTCTTGGTTCAGGTATTATAATATGGAAAAGCAAGAAACAGAAGACAATGTCTAGATCTTCTTCAGAGGCAGAGTACAGAGCTTTGGCTAGTTTAAGCTGTGAGATTGAATGGTTGATCAGATTATTGAAGGATTTTGGAGTGCAGCATCCTCAAACAGTCAAAGTGTTCTGTGATAATCAGTCAGCAATCCACATTGCTGAAAATCCAGTGTTTCATGAAAGAACTAAACACATAGATGTGGATTGCCATGTGATAAGGGAAAGAGTACAATCAGGATTGATCAATTTACATCACATTTCAACAGAAGCACAACCTGCAGATATCTTTACTAAGAGCTTGTCAGTGGATCGATTTGCATCTCCGTTGTCCAAGCTGGGAGTATACAACATATACTCGCCAGCTTGTGGGAGGGTAACAGAGAGGCATGATGATGATGATGATTCTCCTGCAACAAAGAATTGCTTAGCAGCAGCAACAAAGGAGAAACGCTCTGCTCAGGAACTGAAGAACAAGATGAAGAAGGAAGAGCAGAGCGATACGGCAGCGCTCAAGATAAGAAGGAATGATCGAAATGATACGGCGACGTTGAAGATTAAAGAAAGCCAAAGACGCTGCGTTTCGTCAACGGACGAGTGTTCGTAATTTACTGTATATGCTTACACGTGTATAGCTCAGATAGGTAGATTTGGTTGTTAGTTTTATTTAGCCGTTAACAAACAGTGATTAGAGAACCCTCTGTATATATATTTGATTCTGCATCAATGGAAAAGCTCAGAGATCAAATTCCCCAGATCTGGACTTTGTTCTCACAAGCTCAAATCCGCCACGTTCCTATCATCGGAGCTCGTCCTAGCTCCCGCCTCGGTAACCAACACGCTCCACTACGACGTTGGCTTCCCGACTGGCCACATCGGCATCAAGAGCTTCCACGTCGAGCCCGTCGACTCCTCCGGCCGCCCCATCCCGCTCTACGAGACGTATCTCCAGTCTCCACCATTGGGATCTGTTCCGATACGTCGTCCCCAAGGGCACTGGTGGTAGATCATCGTCATCCGACGATGACTCTGCCATGGTCGTGCGCAACGACGGGATATGTCAGGGAAACATTCTGGGCATGCACTACGGCTCCGGATCAGAGACCAGGAGGACGGCGACGTTTCTCCCCGATCCCTACGCGATCGAGATCGGGAACCCGGAGGAGGGTTTCGAGGAGAGGTGGATGCTCGCTATCCACGCGATTGACACGAGAGGGGTTGTGGATGGATTGGGATGCAAGGAGTGTTTGTCTGAATTGTACAATGTGACCGTCGATGGTGGGTATGAGGGTGGATTAAAGTGCTGTGAAGATGGCGGTCAGTATATGGTGAAACTAGGGTTTCAGGGTAGCAATAGGAGCGTGTATTTGAGGTACACAGTGAAATGGGTTGATTGGCTGGATGGTGAGTTTCTCCCCGTGTAGGTGTTCATCGTTGATGTTACTTATACAGGGGAAAGGGGTATGGCAAAAACTACTAGTTGCCAGGTGTGAAGATGACATTTGAACATGTGAACTGCAATGTGTATTGGTAGAGGTGGCAATTGGATCGGATTTGTGGATTCGTGGATTGGATTGGTGGATCCATGGATCAAATGGATTGGATCCATTGGATTGGTGGATTCATGGATTGGATCAAATGGATTGGTGGATTGATCCATGAATCCAAATGACATCCAAAGCTTGGACCAAAATGTAAATTTTGAAAAGTTTAGGTACTAAAATGTCATAATGACAAATTTTAGTTACCAAAATGTAATTTTCCAATGATATTTTCGTATAAAAATATAAATTTTAGGTACCAAAATGTAAAATATAAAAAATATAGGTACCAAACCGTAATTTGCCATTTGGATCCATGGATTGATCCATGAATCCACCAATCCAATTGGATTTGGATCAAATGGATTGGATTTAAGTGGATTGGATTAGGTGGATAATTTGGTGGATGGATTGGATTGGATTCATGGATTTGGATCCTAATTGCCACCTCTATGTATTGGTGACTGATAATCAGATTCATTAACGGTGTTTGATTGGTTGGTTGCAGATTGAGTATGAGGTTGAGCCGTGTAGTAATGGTGATGATGAGTGGTGCGTTGATGTGAAGAGATTACACTTCACTCTGCCTGCGACTGGTTATGTCGTCTATGGTGTTGGCCACCAGCATTCTGGAGCAATCGGTCAAGCTGTCTATCGCCAGGTGAATCCTAACTTCTAGTCAATTATTGTAGATAGTGATTGATTGGAATTGGGGTTGGTAAGGAATCCCTTGCTACATTGTGACTTTTAGCCCTGTTGTTATAACATGTAAGTGTTGTTATACTAACAACAAGGGTAAATATGTAAAACAACAAAAAAATAACAAATTAAAAATAAAACGTATTTATCCAACTCGTTGCCGCACTCCTCCTTTTCCAGATCTGGTTTCTCCTCTTCCACTAGCTTTCCTATCGCCAATGATTAATCGAGATGGTGGAGAGGGCGATGGCCATCGGAGCTCGAGTCGAGCACCGCCGCAATGGATGCGATGATAATCGCCATCGCCATTAAATAATCCCTTGTGTGGCAACGTCATTCGTAGTTACCTACTGCGGTAGCAACGACAAAGTAGGAAACAAAGGATATCGAAGGTCGGGAGCGAGATCAGGGCCGTGCGGTGGGAAAAAGAACAGTAAAATAGAATGGAAAGTGACGCAACGAAGAAGAGCAAGCTCGTGTTCAACGATTGCGGGGAGGATCGTTCGCCGTCGTGGAATTGGAGCTTCTTCTGAAGGTTTCACGGATATGCTGGGGAAGGATTCCACTTTTGGCTTTCCATCTCGTCAGCTCTATAATTATTCCCGGATCTTCATTTAAATGCTCCAAAGTTGGCAAGTTGTCCAAATGATTTGCGGTTATCTTCAACGTTCGTCCAAGATGGGGATGGTGGGAACAACAATGCGAGCTCTAGTGTGGATGTGGATATGAATGTTGGTTTTGGAGCAAACAAGAATGGGATAAGCAGGAGTTTGATGATGTTGATGGTTGCGCAGGATGGATGATGCTCATGTATGGCAAGTGGAATTTGTGATTTGGCTCTTGTATCATCAACAACAAGTTGTGTGATGTTGGTATTAATGCAGGTCGAGTTTGGGAATATGGAGGTCACCATATTATTTTGTTGTATTGTGTATCTGAAGCATACCAAGAACATTGTAATTAATTATTTTCCAATTAATTAAAATGTCAGGGATTAGCCTCAATTGATTGACATAGTGGTAATGCGAAAATAAAACCACAAACGCAATAAAATAACCTACAAAAAACATACCGTAACCTCCTAATGCAAATCACAAATTCACTAAAACATATCAGAAACCCCACAAAGCAAACCATAAATATTTTGAAAAGCACACCAAAAACCCCCTAATGCAAACCACAAACACGGTAAAGCAAACCAAAAACGTCCTAATGAAGACCACAAATATATTAAAACAAACCGGAAACCTCGCAAAAGCAAACCACAAAAGTTTCGAAAGCACACCAGAAACTTCTTAATGCAAACCAGAAACCTTCTAATGCATACCACAAATCTCCTAAAACAAACCACAAACCTCACAAAGCAAACCACAACATTTGCGAAAGCACACCAGAAACCTCCTAATGCAAACCACAAACACAGTAAATCAAACCACAAAAAAGCAAACCAGAAACATCCTAATGCAGACCACAAATATATTAAAACAAACCAGAAACCCCTCAATGCAAACCACAAATTTTTTGAAAGCAAACCAGAAACTTCTCAATGCAAACCACAAACACGATAAAGCAAACCAGAAACTTCTTAATGCAAAGCACAAACACGATAAAGCAAACCAGAAACTTCTCAATGCAAACCACAAACGCGATAAAGCAAACCACAAAAGGCATACAAAAATGTGAGAAACCAAACCATAAATCTCACAATGAAGACAATAACATCTGGTGGTCGTTGACCGGTCAACGAAGTTCGTTGACCGAACTCCGATGACCGTCAGTGAGCAGATTCTGACGCCGATAGGCATATTTCGGCCCCGATGACTAGATTCCGATGCCGGTAAGCATATTCCGGCGACGGTGGTATATTCCGATGAGAAAATAGCATATTCCGGTGATCGGCGGCCAGATTCCGGCGACCAAATTTTTTGGCAGAAAATAAAAACTATTTTTTTATCTTTTATTTTTTATTTTTTCATAATGACAATTATACTCCTTCTTTGATTTTACACTAGGTCAACTCAACTAATAAAAAGTCATCACAATCCTAGCTTTCTATTGGTTGGAGACTAATGTTGTTACAATAACAACAAAAGGAGTGTTGTTATAGTATCTAGTCCCAACATGTATAGTGTCTAGATTGTCTTGATTAGAGTATCAACTTACACTAGAGAAAGTGTCTTCTTCAACGAGCTTCAACTTATCATATACAGGATGGGGAAGTGATATGCAAGTCAGTCCCGATCTACGGAACAGGGCACGAAGCTGGAAACGAGGCCGCCTTCGTGGTAGGGATGAGCACCTGTTACCCTGAACCAGGGTCAGTGAAGGTAACGGCTGGCGACCAGCTCATTCTGGAAACAAACTATTCAAGTTGCGGGACAAGGGGCCACTTCGGAGTTATGGGCATCTTCCACATCTTCATTGCTGACCAACTACCACCAGCACCACCAACCTGGGCAGCTGCCTTGCTCCACCGTTCGATTTCTGCCGCTCATGTAAGTATTCTGTTTACCAGCTAATTTCCTGTACATATTTCCATCCTAATCCATTATGCTGGTTTGCTGGTATTGCAGGTGTTCCATGGATTTAGTGCAGAGTCTTGGACAATCCTTGCTGTGTCAGGATTAGTTGCTCTTGTTGGTGTCGTTGGCTTCAGCATCTGGCTAAAGAAGCAGAGGGGAGCGGAAGATGGCTACCAAGTCATTATGGCATGAGCTTAGTATGATAGACTTGATAGTCCGTTTTAGTTTTCTGTTGTAGTGTCCAAATAGAATGAAATTAGACGTCTAAAAAAACATGTTTAGTTAGGTTGTAAGTCCATTACCGTGAGTCTTGTAGCAAATAGATTGCAGGCTCATTGAAGCTAACAGCTGGCGAACAACTCGTTCTAGAAACAAAGTATTCAAGTAGCAGGGACAAGGGTGGCCACCTCAAAAGAACGAAGAAAATTAAAGTGGCTAATTTGCAATCCTTTTAGGCCAGTTTCAGAACATCGAACGGACCCAAAAACCTAGGTGGCCCATTCGCAATCTTTTTCTGCGCAATTAAACCACACAAAGGAAAGAAAAGCCAGCCTGTGGCCAAGAAGCCACCGACCATGGCTGTTCGGAGTTTGAACCACACAACACGAATTAGGCAACAAAAAAGACACAATGCAAAAAAAAATCACACAAACAAATCAGAACAGAGCAAATCGATGCGACGAAGAACAAAATAATAATGATTAATGAATCAATCGTTAATAATAATAATGAGAAAACTCTTTCATCTCTTCAATTGAAAATTCACAATTGTAATATAGGCAACCAAGTGTTTTCCTCCGATGTGTATCAATCCTCTCTCTCCTCTTTCTCAATTGATTTTCTACTCTAATAATCTAGACCTAGCTTCCGACTCGGCCTGCCGTCGTCAGAAGACGGAATACAGAACCAGCTGGTCGGCGGAATCAACTCCCATGGAAGCCTTGAGACTGAATCCACCAGCAGATTTCACACCGCTGCTGCTCTGCGCCGCCGTAGCCTGATTAATCCCGCCGGCGTGATCCTGTTGGTACTGGTCGGCGTTGGAAGGAGGGTGGTAGTACATGCGAGCAGTCTGCGGGCAGTGGGAGTAGAACCTCCCGACGATTCTGGCGCCGACGTCGAGCAGCTCGATGTACTTCCCCATCGCCGCCGGTCGATTGAAATGCTTCTTGCGACGGATTGTGAAATTGTAACTGCAGAGAAGGTTTTGGGGGGAGAGAGACTCTTTCTCTTTCTCTTTCTCTCACTGGATTTTCGCTTTGTGGTGGCGTGGAATGTGGGGAGAGGAATTAGGAATTGCGCGGCGTGGAGGTGGAGAATGGAGAAAAAAAGGGGCATTTTATATGTATCAGGGGGAGGCTTTCTCTGTGCTTTCTTGGGCGGCCCATTTTAATTGTTTTTAGTTTTTATTTTTATTTTTCCTTCCCTCAACGAAATTGCGGTCGTTTTGAAGGGTATGGATGAACTTTCCTTGCCGTTCCTTCTTTGACGGCGCACTAATCTCTCTGCCCCTCAAGCCAAAGAATTTGTGCTCGGTTGACTTCGGAGTCGTTTGGAGGTTGTGATTGTTTTTTTTTTACAATAAAATCATATTTTTATTCCACCTTCGGAAAAACGCGGGCAAATTACAATCTTAAAGAAGCTCAGAAATTAGATCAAGAATATTAATCCAGTCAACAGGAAGTTGCGATTGTTAAATGGATGTATTGTTGAGAATGCATGTATAATATTATACATGTATTGTGGAATTTGATGCATTGTAGAATACAACGTTTGGTATGTGTGATTGTGAATGTCGCATCAGCTAAAAGTTGAGACAAAACAATCTCAACTCAACTATCTCAACAATCACAACTAAAAGTTGAGATATAACAATCACTCAAAATGAGTGATAGTTTTTGTCACATCACAGAAACAATCCATGTATTGTTTCTGCTAAAAAAAACAAAAAAACGATGCATTGTAAACAATACATGCATAATGACAATCTCAACAAAACTATCGCAACTTCCAAACGACCCCTTCATTTTTTTTGCCTTTTCTCCCCTCCCATTTTCCCCCTCATCCGATTGATTGCAGTTATTCTGTCTACTCACGCCGTTCAATGTATACGAAACTAGCGATAAAGCTTGTTTACCAAAGGGAAAATATCATTTTGGATAATCTTCAGCTTATATGATGAGAAAAAGAGAATAATGCATGTAAGTTGAAAAAAGTTTAACTTCATATTTTATACGGTTAATTAGAATTATGAAGCATAAAAAAGATAACAACGGTACATATCAATAAGTTTGACTTGTTATAGACACAAACAAAGTTTGGTGGACGAATCAGCAATCATCGGAAAAAAAATATGGCGAGAGGAGCTCTCCCCTCTCTCCTCGAATTTTCTCTCTGGCTGGGGGAATGGCTCAAGCATGTGCTTTCTTCTTGGCTCTTGGCCAGCTTGCAGAATCAGAAAACTGCTGGTTGTCGTCCTACAACCATCTCTGGAGAAATCAAAAGGCGAGGCGCAGGGCAACCGAGTACGCCACAGGGCAGAAAGTCGGATTGCCACCGAAAGAGCGCCGCCGCACCGACATGCAAATCGGTTATAGGTAAGCGGAAAAGGAAAAGAGGCATGGTAGGGGGAACGATGAAACCCTCTTGACCGCCCGTGTTAAAAAAGGCAGATTGTTGCCGTTAAAGGGATGGCGATTCTGGCTCCCACCTGCTTCTGTTTTGGGTGAGGAGGAATTGCCTGTTGCACAGGTTATGAGTGGAGAAAAGAATTGCCACAGGTCTAATTCGTCTCAAGGTGCTCAGGGAGCCGAATCGAACATACCTCTTATTGTGTGGGTAGCAGTTAAGAAAAAATCGGCCCTGCTTTGGCCGACGAAGAATTCGACTGCTATTCAAAATAGGTACCCCGCCGGCAGCCTTTGGCTCCTATCGCCGGCCAAGGGGGGTACACAAAACACGTCGAAACCGGGGGCCAGGATCCGCATCTGTTGATCGCCGATTGGGTCCGGATTTCTCGTGGTCTTTTGGGGCGGATTTGGGAAGCAGCTATGACTGCGTTTCTCTTTATATATTCACCCCTGCTGCGTATGATTTTCCACCACTATCAGGAAAAATTATGTGTGTGTGGCTCCCTCATCGCAGCAACCCCCCCCCCCCCCTCCCTAGTGCGGCCGTTTCGAGATCAGGTATGGAGGAGTGTGATCTTGTATCCAGTTTCTACCTCTCCTCTAAGGCTGATGTTTCCAATACGCTTCTTGATAAACATGTTCCACCCCCTAGTTCGAATGTGCCTATTTCGCTGGGCCTGTTGCATGTTAACCCTGTTATTAATTCCCGTTTGAATGCTGCCTCTTCTTGTCATGAACGAGGTATGGTTCATGTCACGGAAGACCAGGTGGTCCAGTTCTCTCTGGATGAGGTTCAGTCCACGAAGCTTCGCGCGTCACGCACTCTGTAAGGGCGTTTGTTCACTGCTGAGCAATTCTCGACTCTGGAACTGCGTGACGCCCTGGTCGATGCTTGGCAAATCAAGGGACGGGTGAAAGTCTCCATGGCGAGCCATGGTTTATTTGAAATCATGCTGCCTAATGAGGAGGCAAAAAGCTGGGCACTAAAGCGTACCCCATGGGTGATTAAGGATAAGCTCCTCAACATCCGTTCCTGGGCGCCTTCAGTTTCTCGGAAGACCTTTGAGGACTTATCCATAGCTCCTTTCCGCATTCAACTTTGGGGCGTGAAGGATGACTGTTGCACCAAACTCTTTGGGCGCAAATTTGTGGCTTCGGCTATTGGTCAGGTCCTAGAGTCAGACCTTTTTGCTTGCCAGGATACGGGGGAGCGATTTATTAAAGTTCGTGTTGTTATTGATTTCGCCAAACCACTCCGATCCCAGCTGTTGGCGGCTAGTGATGAGGCTGGTTGCTTTTGGGTGAATTTGCGGTACAAATACCTCCCAAGCTTCTGTTATCATTATGGTCGGATGGGTCATGCACGACGCGATTGCACCTTTGACCCGCCAAGTGGGAAGGAGCGCTTCGGCCCACATATGTCAACAAAAAAGCTGGGTCTACGGCTTTATGATGACGAAGGCGACACCATGAAGATCAGAGGCCCTCGACAAACGGTTTGGGTTAACCGCCAGATTAATGGCCCTGCCACCAAGGCTCGAACTTATATTCGGGACAGAGATGAGGGCATACAGGTGGCTGGCCAGACGCTGGAGGCGGCGGGTCCCCAAAGAGACATAGGAGGAGCAGGTCCTGCTGGGATTCCGAGTAAAGGACCGAGCTTATGGAAATCTCTGATGAAGAAAATGAGTCCGAGAGGGTTTTCCCTCAATAAACCCCCTCGGATCAAACTCGGGGGTGGAAGAAATATTCGCCAAGCTAAGCGTGATACTGAGGTTGACCGCAAGATTAAGGGGGCTGAATTCGTCGAGAAGCGCAGGACCACCAGCGAACAGTTTTCTGCCCAACCAGAGATGGCCGAGTGCGATACTGGTGTGCTCGCTCAAACTCGGCGACGTCGGCTCATTCTGGAGTCCGATTCTGATGATGATGCCCTATCGTTTGATCCTGTTCAACAGGACACTAGGCTGGGGCCTGCGAAGAAGAATCCTCTCCGCAAGGATAGGAAGCGGACTGGGCCGCACAATGGGCCTAGTAGTGTAATGAAGGCAGGCTGTGAGGGCTTCCCAGCAGCGGATTGCATGCCCAACCAAAATCCACTGCCGGCCATTCCTGCGCGGAAACCGGCCCATCCTCGGCCACAAGCAGCCCAGCCCACAAAGAGGGGTAAGCTGCGGAAAGCTCTGGGCGGCGGGGGGGAGCTCATCCCAACTGACTGACGGCCCAAGAAATGATATGCCCTCTGGGTCGGCTCCGACCAGGACCAGGGGATTTGAATGTCCAGCCGAGAAGGATCCTGGGTCGGCCCCCAGTAATAATGAAGTGATCAAGGCCCTTGTCTCGGCGGATTCGGAATCGGAGGAGGATTCTCGGTGCTTTGAAATTAAAAAGCGAATTCCCTCCGCTACACCAAAAGAATCTAGTGCTGCCACCAAGGGGCGTGTTAGCCAAGTCATGGCCGCTTTTGAAGCTGGGCTTTCTATAAATTCTGTACAACAACCCATTTTGCAAGAGCAGATGGGGAATGTTAATTCGAATCGGGATGAGCAGAATATGACCAAGGAAGAAGGCTCTCAGTTTGATGAATATGGGTCGAACCTTTTGAACCCTGATATTGGGACGCGTAAGTGTCCGTTGGAGGCTGTAGAGGGCGATATGAGTGACATACCCACGCCAAAGAAGCAATTTGTGGAAGCTA